TTAGCCGGTCAGTCCCCAGCCTGTAGCTGTTCATGGGATTCTTCCGTCCTAAGTGCAGAACTCTGCACTTGTCCTTGTTGTACCTCATCAGATTTATATATGTCCTAATAATTATTTGACCCTCTAATGTAACTATAAATGTTTTCCATATCCATGTAAACATTCAGTTCTCTAAATATTGAGTCCTGCTAAGCTCTTGGCCTCAGTGATATCTCGTGGCAGTGAGTTCCATTGTTCAATTATGCTGTGGGGTAACAGCGCACTTTACCCTGTCACTGTGCCACAGGCTGTGCCTGGAAGTTGGTGTCCTGGCGCTCTCTGTGTAGATTTAGGTAACATCTGTAGCCTGTGTGGAGGGCTGCAGTCTGTAAGGAACGTTCTCCGGGACAGTAACTGGGCAAAGTCCGTTGGGCATTGCCAGGTGGCTCTCTAACCTGCTGTGACATTATATGATTAAAATATGACCATGTAGATCATTGTTGCTACCACGGTTACATAATTGCAACAAATCTTGTACAAAATATGTCACATAAGGTGTCAATGGAAACGTTATGATTCGTGGAATATGATTATCCTACTTGTATGCATGTATCGTTGTTGTGTCTGACGTTACGAATACTGACTATGTACCTGTATTTCGAATGTGTTTGCTCCTGGGCAACACCCACAGGGTATCAAGTATCAGAGGGGTAGCCGTGTTAGTCTGGATCTGTAAAAAGCAACAAAGAGTCCTGTGGCACCTTATAGACTAACAGATGTATTGGAGCATAAGCTTTCGTGGGTGAATACCCATGTCGTCAGATGCAGTGGGCAATCATCCACGAAAGCTTATGGTCCAATACATCTGCTAGTCTTTAAGGTGCCACAGGACTCTTTGTTACTACCCACAGGGTAGTTTGCATCCACTCTAGCCAGCACATTGTGAAGGGACTATTCTAGTTGATGGCCCATCAACAAACACAAGACCATGGAAGAAGCTTATTCCCGCCTGCTGGACTTTCTAGCTAGAATACGGGCAATGGCTCTGCTATGACTCATCGAAGCATGCAAGGGCATGTGACTAGATCATGTGGTACTGAACTCCATCGTGTGCCTGTGCTTTCCCACAAACTGTGCTGAAGGCTTTGCTTGGAACGATGAGTTTCCCTCCACATGGCAGAAGCTCTAAAAGGCCCTGCAAGCATCTCCATTGTTCCTCTTTCCTGCTCTGGACTATGGACTTATACTGATGGGAGCATTCTAACCAAGGGACTGAGGACCTTCCAGTGATTTGGGAGCAACCAGAGACTTGACTTAAGCCAGCAGTTTATGCCATCACTGCTTCAAGCCTGATCCAATTACTGATATGCAATTATTGTATGTACTTGATTCCTTTAACCAGTTTTAACTCTCACCTCTTTCTTTTTATAAATAAACCTTTAGATATTCGATACTAAAGGATTGGCAACAGCGTGATTATGGGGTAAGATCTGAGTTATATATTGACCTGGGTATGTGGCTGGTCCCTCGGGATCAGAACCCCCCTTTGGTTGATGAAATTGGTTTTAAATAACTACTCATCATTGTCTAGTGTCTGGGTGTTGAACCAAGGACTGGAATACCTAAGGAGGTTGCATTTCTGACTTCTTGTTGTCCAGTGTTGTGAGTCAGTTTACTTTTGTTGCTGGTTTGGTATATCTTGTGGGAGAATAATCACCAATTAGGGTTGCCAACTTTCTAATCGCACAAAACCAAACACCCTTGCCCCACCCTCTGCCCCAAGGCCCAGCCCCAAGGCCCAGCCCCTTCGCCAAGGCCCTGCCCCCCACTCACTCCATCCCCCCCCATCGCTCGCTCTCCCCCACCCTCACTCACTTTCACTGGGCTGGAGCAGGGAGTTGGGGTCTAGGAAGGGGGTGAGGGTTCTGGCTGGAGGTTCGGGCTTTGGGGTGGGGATGAGGGGCTTGGGGTGCAGAAGGGGGCTGGGGTTGAGGGGTTTGGAGTGTGGGAATGGGTTCCAACCTGGGGCAGGGAGTTGAGGTGCGGGAGGGGGTTCAGGGTGCGGACTCCATCCTGGCAGCGCTTACCTCAGGTGGGTCCCGGCTACTAGGCACAGGGGCAACCTGGCGGCTCCGCACGCTGCCCGCACCTGCAGGTGCCGCCCCTGCAGTTCCCATTGGCCACAGTTCCCAGCCAAAGGGAGCTGCGGAGCCGGCGCTCGGGGTAGCGCGCAGAGCCCTGTGCCTAGGAGCCGGACATGCTGGCCGCTTCCAGGAGCTGTGTGGAGCCAGGGCAGGCAGAGAGTCTGCCTTAGCCCCGCTGCACTGCTGACCAGACATTTAGCAGCCCGATCAGCAGTGCTGACTGGAGCCACCTGGGTCCCTTTTCGACCGGGCATTCCGGTCAAAAACTGGACACCTGGCAACCCTGGTTTTGCGGGGGTGTCTGCCCTATTTCTTAGCTGTTTGTCCTGAATTTGGTATTCTCAAGTGTGACCCACCGAGGCACGGTGAAACCTGCCCCAATGGTTCCGGTGTGCAGCTGCAAAGGCCGATGGCTCACTGTTTGTTCCATGCACACTATGGGCTGCATGAGCTGGGACGGATGCAATATTCTGTTGCTTGTGCTCAAGCCAGCTCTAGATTCTGTTGGACCTAAACGCGGTTCTGCTTTGCACAGTGGCCCTGTTTGTGTCTCTGCCGCCACCTCAGATGTGCTCTGCTGACAAGTAAAATGAAGCACCGTAAACTCCTCCGGGGAGCTCATGCTGGGCTCTCTCCTTCAGCACCAATAAAATAGCTTCCACAGACTAGCTCTAGCCCTCACGCCCCCTCTGCCACTACCTCACGCGTTGGTAAGCGAGTGGCGCTTGGCGTCTGCCATTTCACAAGGACAGGCAGCATCTCGGGCTCAGCGCTGGGTTGCCTCAGCTTTGCTAACGAGCTGAGAATATTTCCGTCATGGTGTCAGCTGGGTTTGAAGGGGCTAAGATGCAGGGACTTTACAGAGCAGAACCATGTGTTCATGTCATGGAAGATGATGTGTAAAGCCTTATTTACTCCACTTCAGTATTCTTCTGAGTTGTCAATCTGTGATGTAATTAACAGCCCCTCTAGATGGAGGGTTTCTGGACTGGGAGGTTTGATTAAGATGTATACTTTGCCTCCTCTTTAACTGGGAATTCCTGTGTAACGATTAAAGTTAACTCTATTATGAAATAAATTCTGTGCCTTTGTCTAGTGTCATGTAAATTATTGAAACTACAACTAATAATAAAGGGTTGAATTTGATTGTGCTTTTGTAACAGTTGATCTCATTTATTTCCTTATGGACGATTCCTTTTCTCGCTGGCTTTTTTTGAATTGGTTATATCCAGAGCTTGTACATGCAGGTCTTTTGGGGACAGCATTTCCATTGACTTGGGTGGAAGTGAATATTAGTTATTTGCATTGCAGTGAGGTGGAGAGGCCCTGGATGAGAGCAGCGCCCCCTGCTGTTGGACACTATACACATGCACAGAAAGACAGTCCTGGTCCAACAATCTTCCAATCGAAGCAGACCAATGGTAGAAGACAGTATCACCCTTATTTTATAGCTGGAGAACTGGGGCACAGAGATTAAGGGCCACGTTCTCCACTGGTCAGCGCCCAGCACATACAGCTCTTTGGAAACTGCCCGCTTACTTAGGTGCATCAATGGGAGCTGAATACTTCTGGAAATCTGGCCCCATGTGGTGCCCACAGTCACTCAGGGTGTCTGTGCCAGGCCTTGGACCCGGCTCTCCTGAGTCCCAGTCTAGTGCCTTACCCACCAGACCTTCCCCCTACTGGATCCTATGACTTTAAGAGCAATGTCCACCAGGCTAGATACAAGAAGCAACATGTCACTCTTCGGTTCTGTCTCTTCCCCACCAAGCGCTGACCCCCAGCGCCACCATTTTATTCTCTAGGTTAGTGAATAAAAGTTCTTGCTTTAAAGTATTTCTGAGTGCAAAGAGAGGGCAGCAAACCCACTGCCTGCTAAAACCCAACTGCCGAGAGCTGTGAATGCCAGCCCCTGCCACCAGAGAGCCCAGCCCAGCAGGGTGGGGGTATTAGAACCCCAAGGGCTCCCACTCCATTGTGCGAAGCGGCCTGCTCTTAGTGGCCTCCCGCTGGCCCTGTGGGCCTGTCTCCCCCCTTTTCCTCAGCCCTGGCCGCCCAGCTGCCTGGCCAGCCCTCCCCTGCTGGTAACTAGTTACCTATGGTACTTACATGGCCCCTCTTACC